CCGACTTGTCTCAGGAACAGCAAAAGGAACTGCGCTCCCTGTTACGGGATTTTGCAGACATCTTCAGTCACGGTAAATTTGATATTGGCCGCACTTCGTTGCTGCAGCACCGCATCGACACGGGAAATTCTGCTCCTGTAATACAGAGCCCTAGGGAGAAGGACCATGTTCACCAGGCAGTTGACCAGATGTTGGCCGCAGACATCATCTCTCCCTCCACCAGCCCATCGTTTTGCTTAAAAAGCAGGACAGCAGTCTACATTTCTGCCTAGATTACCGGAAACTAAATAAGGTTTCGGTGGCCGATGCTTATGCCCTTCCGTGGATGGACGACTCATTCAACGTGTTGTTGAGCACACCGTTCTTCTCGACCCTTGACTTGCTGTCAGGATTCTGGCAGCTGCACCTAGATGAGAAATCAGGCGTAAGACCGCGTTTCGAATGCCCAGGGGGTTATTCCAAATTAATTGTCTTCCATGGGGCTGCACTCGTGCCTGGCAACGTTTCAGCTGCTAATGGAGTTGGTCTTGGCAGATCCACCAATGGACTCTCTTGCCTCATTTACTTGGACGACGTTATTGTGTTCGGATGTACGTTTGAGGAACATCTGCATCAATTGCAGTCGGTGTTAGAGTGCGGGTGGCCAATCTCATTCAAACCGCAAAAACGTCACCTTTTACAAACATCGGTACAGTATCTGAGCCATATTGTAAGCGTGTCCAGGCTACCCACGGATCCCGCCAAAATGCGTGTGTGCAGGTCGGTGGGTGAAGTTTGCAGTTTCGTCGGGTTTGTGTCCTACAATCGCCGGTTCATTCTGGGGTGCGCAACGATCGCCAAACTGCTCCCACGCATTGACCACTAAAGGGCAGAGATTTTGGTGGGGGAAGCAGGTCGCGTCTGTCGCGCTACGTCAAGGCCTCGCCAACGTACCCCCTGTCAGCTACCCCGATTTCTCTCTGCCCTTTATTTTGGACACGGACGCCAGCGATACTGGGATAGGCGCTGTACTGTCACAGGTCGTAAACGGTGCGGAGAGGGTCATAGCCTATGGTAGTCGGGTGTTATCTCCCGCAGAACAGCGCTACTGCGTAATGCACAGGGAGTTGTTGGCCATTTTTTATTTTGTCCAACAGTTTCGGCCCTACCTTTATGGATGGGACTTTGTGGTGCGCACGGCCCACGCGGCCCTTCAATACTCCCTGCACATTGACCAGCCTTCCGGGCAGCTGTCCCGCTGGCTCAAAGTACTGCAGGAATACACATTCACTGTTGTTTACAGGAAAGGCGTAGGGCACTGCAACGCAGATGCACTGTCTCTCGCCTGCCACCAAATAACCAGTGCGCATGGTCTATGGGTGCGGGCCGGTGTAGACCTTCACTGGCTGGCCTGCCTCGGGTGGTGGCGGCGTGTGGGGATGCAGTGCCACTTGTGGTGGCTGAGCCCAGTGATGGTGCGCTAGGCTTCACGCTTGCAGAGTGGGGACGACTGCAGATGGAGGACGTTTCCTTGATTAAATTGCGGTTGCCGTGTAGAAAATATGGGGAGTAGAGCCGTTCCGTCAGGGGCCTCCCTTGTAGTCCTTCGCAACAGCTCTTGATGCGATGGGATGAGGAGCTGCAGCGCTATTGTATGTGTTATTTGGTTCTTACAGTAAAGTCCACAATGAAAGAAAAAAAACGAAAAACTATGAAAGAAAAACTAAGACGTTCGATCACAAACAGGCGATCGTCATCAGGAGGAAAAATTGGTAAAAGAAAAATGGAAAAAGCCCCTTTTTCATCCTGATGACGATCGCTTGTGTTGTGATCGAAACGTACAGTGGTTCCCACCGCACTGCGGGGTAAACTCATCCGAGTTGGTATATGAGAAGCTAATGCACCTTGGAGTCTGTAAATGCTGTTGATGCTGAAGCGGGACATCTATTCGCCTGGGTATGATGGTGTGACTTATATCACCTGGTTAAAGGGTGCGCCCAACTGCGCACCACGCCGCAAACCACCGTCGAGGCAGTCCCAGCCTCCATGACAATTCAATCACGGTGTCTCGAATTAACGAGCTAGTCGCACTGGATATTTTTGGACCATTCCCCGCTACTCAGAGGGAAAATACATTTCTCCTGGTCGGAGTGGAATATCTTTGCCGGTGGCCGATGGCATGGCATCTGCCTGACCAGTCGGCCGCATCCATTTCGGACGCATTTTTGCATGGCTACATCATGGATAAGGGAGCCCCTGAACAACTTCTCGCAGATCAGGGGCAGAATTTTCTTCTAAATTGTTACGGGAGGTGTGCGACTTCCTAGGTACTAAAAAAAGAGGACTTCACCCTACCAACCTCAGACGGGATGGTGGAACGCCTGCACAGGACTGTAACATTGATGCTGTGCCAGGGGGGGTCAATGAAGTGCAGTAGGACTGGGATTTGCACACCCGCGGTGTCTAATTTCATCTTGTGTATGGGAGGGAGAGCGACCCCCCCCCCCCCCCCCGTGCAAAGTTACGTTCGAGGCGATTGACAGAGACACAGGAAGCGTCCAAGGGAAATTCGGGCCAAGGGGCAGGCCGCGAATGAGAAGTTCCATCCATTGGGACACCGTGCGTCCGGGCTCCCGTGGAAAAACTGGGGACAGGGCATGGCTGAAATGTCCACAGGTACCCCCTGGGTACGTCCCCCTAATTACACCGGCCTTGGGGCGGGGACCCTGTTGAGGTCGAGGTTGAGTTGGCCGCAGGTGCGTGCGCTTTCAGGTCGGGTCGCCGTCACTGGTTTGTGCACCGTCAAGGTCGGAACATATGTTAATTCCCAAATGGAAAGCTCATTTCCATCTCCAGAGCAGCCGGTGTCTGATGTGTCCGAAAAGCCGGGGCAAAACGAGCCCCAAAAGCGGTACTTCAAAGGGATTGCGTTGTGCCGCCTACAGAATCCCAGCATCTGCCGCCCGGTGATCCTCCTACATCTGCTCCGGAATGAAGGGCCGCGTGCGGAAGCCCGGTTTGCCATCCATTTCTCCCACGGAGGGCCGCGACCCTTCAGGCCATTTGTGTGAAGTTCCTGCACTTCCCCACTGCGCAAGTCCCACTCGTGGTGGGGGGACCGGCGTCGATAACTTCCACAAACTGCCCAATTATCATGGAGAGTTCAGGATTTGGAAAGTTTCATATAAAATACCAAGGCAGTTTGTTTTGTTTGAGTAGAAGAAATGCAAGGCCACACCTCTTCATGACACACTCCAGTGAGTAGCCATTACCAGATCATTCACATGGTTGTCCAGTAGGCAATGATATCTTGACAACAATGCATCGATTAACCTCCCCATGTAACTGCACCTCATATGAATTCTTCTTTTCCGCGGCATTGGAAGAGTCGAACAACATAAGCAATGATGATGCTACGTAAACAAATGTACGGGCTAGAGAGCATACCTGTCATACCCCAACTTGAATAGTAAATGGGCCTGATCAGGAAGCTGTAGCCGGTCCTGGCGAACGGTGGACTGATGACGCCTGGATGTCTGTGGAATTCAGGATCCAGGATGTCTCACGAGGGGTAGACAGCCCTCTACTGAGCACAGCATAATGCCAAGCAGGAAGATGCTCTTGTTCTGAAAAATAAAACTACAGGTGCGTGGGAACGTGATGATGAGAAGTGGAATGCAGAGACTGCTGCGAGTACCTTTTAAGTTGGGCACGGTGCACAAGGTGTGTCAATCGCATTCCAAGTACTGTCCATGCATACACAACACAAACTCACTCGCGCCCACAATATATACACACACAATGCACTCACAAAATACACGTGTATATTACACAAACTCTTCAACATTTAGGTGGTAAAGTAGAGCAGTAATAACTCTCGCGCTTCACAGCAATAAGGGTCCTGGGTTCGATGCCTAACTCGGTCTTTTCTGTTTGGGTTTGTAATTTCTTCCCCTGTTCTACATTGGTGTTCCACTGGATTGTCCGTTTTTCTCCCAAACCTAAACTCATGAAATGTAGTTTGTGTTCACCAAATAGTCCAATACAGGACCCTCCTGAAAAATAAATGTTGGACTCTTGCAGCTAAATGAGACATTAAACTGGAAAATCCTCTCACACAGCACACAAATTTTTATTTTACCAGTTAAGGTACACCGAGCTATAGAGCTATTTTTCAAAAGCAACCTGATCACAATTATAGTGCAACCAAGTAACTCATTACGTGGACATTTATAGCTGCTAAATATTTCTAAATGTGGAGGGGGATAACTTGAGGACCCGGAGAAAAATCAGTGTGACCACATGGAGAACATGCAAACTCGATCTTGATTTGAAGCTTTCGTGACAGCAGGAATCCATACTCTTTGGTTCTTTCGGTAAAGTCACGTAGGTTTAAAATAAAATAAATCACGACGTTTCGGGTGCAACACAAGCGTCCATCATCAGGTGGGAAAGCATGGTCTGCTGCTGAGGCAGACTGTTTTAAAAAGTTTGAAATGGGTGTAGCTCAAGGGTTATAAAGAAGTGGCCGGAACTAGTGATGTTAATGTGAGAAATTAGCATGTAACGGTAAGATAGAAGAGCAGCCTCCTAAACGAGGGCACGGAAGTGGCTATGTTAATGTGAGAGATTAGCATGATGTTAATGTGAGAAATTAGCATGTAACTGTAGAAAAGAAGGAGAATAAGAGCAGCCTCCTCGACGAGGGAGTGCATTTACCGAAAGAACCAAGAGTATGAATCTAAATAAACTTAAAATCTAACTCCGCTCTCTGACGTCACAACTCAGCATTACCTCATCGGCGTGGGACGCGAGGGGGAGGTGTAACCCACTAGTGACGTCATGTCACCAAGGAGCTCACCCCCCCCAGCCCCCCCCTCCACCTCGAGTTCACTCACATATGGGCCTAGTTCATTAACATAATTTATTAAGTTCCACCGCCGCACATTGGGTATGGTAGTGTTTTGTTCCCCTCTAGTGACGTCATGTCTCCGCCTGCAGCCGCGTGACGTCACGAGATTCAGGAAGCTGCCGATCCACTCGCCTGCACTCACTGGGATCCGAGGTGAGAAGTTCACATCGTGGTTGTTGTTGTTGTGGTGGTTGTTGTTGTTGTTTACCCAGGTAGAGCCTCGCTCCTTCTCTCTCTCGTAGGGATATCAATTGAGTAGCAGCGAGGATGGAATCGATGTCCAGGTTGGAACATTACAACGCGGGGCCTAGCCATGCGGGGCCTTGCCTCCTCCCCTCGCCTGAATGCATTTGCTTTAATTCTCTGCTAAAGTTTAATTTGTCTTCACCTGGCTCACTACTTTGAAACTTTGTTTCTTTTAAATATTTCTACAGTTTTTAATCTTACCAAGGCCAAGCCCACTTGAGCTGCTATACCGCTCTTTTTCAGAAGCGACCTGCCCACAACAAAGTGGCTTATCAACGTGTGGAAATGTATATCGGTCAAATACTCTAAACACGTGGTGATGTTGGCTCTTAATGTGGAGGGAAAAACAGGAGGATCCGGAGGAAAACCCTTGCTGCTGTAAAGCCCCTACCGACGATACACGAACTGGACAATGTTCGAGCCTTGAAGGAACTTGGCATCGCCATCAACTCACTAGCCAGCGGCAAGTCCCCGGGAAAGGACGGCATCACACCTGAGGTACTGAAATGTGCGAAACCCGCCATCCTCACGAAACTCTATGAACTTATCTGCCAGTGCTGGGAGGAAGGAGCAATGCCTCAAGACATGAGAGACTCCAACATCATCACCCTATATAAAAACAAGGGTGACCGCAGGGACTGCAATAACTACCGCGGCATCTCCCTGCTGAGCATCATGGGGAAAACCTTTGCCCGTGTGGTCAGCAGATTACAGATACTAGCTGAGAGGATGTATCCTGAGGCTCAGTGTGGTTTCAGAGCAGGAAGGTCCACAATTGACATGCTCTTCTCCTTGCATCAGCTACTTGAGAAATGTCGAGAACAGAGAATGCCCCTGTACTTGGCATTCTTTGATCTTACAAAAGCCTTTGATCTCATCAGTAGGGGAAGCCTCTTCAAACTCCTCAAAGCGATTGGCTGCCAACTGAAGCTGCTGGCAGTCTTCTCTTTCCATGACAACATAAAAGGAACAATACAGCACAGCGGCACCACCTCAGAGGAATTTACCATACTCAGCGGTGTAAAGCAGGGGTGCGTGCTTGTCCCAACACTGTTTGGCATATTTTTCTCACTTATGCTCACACATGCCTTTGATGGCAAACTCTTCAACCTTGGCCGTCTCGGATCCAAAACCAAAGTCCGCAAAGTCCTCATCAGAGAACTCCTATTTGCTGATGATGCCGTGCTGACAGCTTACACAGAACAAGGTCTGCAGACACTCATCGACCACCTTGCAACAACTTTGGCCTGACAATCAGTCTGAAAAACACCAATGTCATGGGCCAGGGTGTCAGAGACACCCCTTCCATAAACATTGGCAGCTACACCCTGGAAGTCGCTCAGGACTTCACCTACTTGGGTTCCACCATCACCTGCAATTTGTCCCTTGTCACAAATATTGACAAGCGCATTGGGAAGGCGTCTACAGCTATGTCCAGGTTGACCAAAAGAGTGCGGGAGATCAAATCCCAAATGCTCAACACCAAAGTACAGGTGTACCGGGCCTGTGTCCTGAGCACCCTCCTCTATGGGTCTGAGTCCTGGACAACATATACGCCCATCAAGAACATCGACTAAACACATTCCACCTCCGATGTTTCGGGTGCATCCTCGGTATCAGATGGCAAGATCGCATTCCCAACACCTCAGTCGTCAACTTTGCCAACATTCCCAGCTTGTACTCCCTACTCAGTCATAGGTGCCTGAGATGGCCTGGACACGTGCGCCGCATACAGGAGGGAAGAATACCAAAGGATGTCTTGTACGGCGAGCTGGCGTCAGGCACACGGGCCACTGGTCGCCCAGTCCTGCACTTCAAAGATGTCTGTAAACGGGACACGAAGAGCTGCGACATCAACCCAAATGATTGGGAGAAAACTGCCGGCGACTGACTCAGCTGGCAGCAGGCTGTGAAAACAGGCTTCAGCAGAGGCGAGGAGAAACTATACACTGCTTGGCAGACCAAGAGTGAACGACGTAAAGAAAAAGCAATAAATACCTCTGGAGCTGCCACCGCAGTCACTTGCAATTGCTGTGTCATGGACTGTAACTCAAGGATTGGCCTACTAAGTCATTCTAGGCGCTGCAAACCTACAGCTGGCCTCGCAGGCGCTAAAGCATTGTCTCTCAAGACAAACAGGCCTATATTTTGCTGTGTAGCTCATTGCTGTTGAGGAGTTGCATTCGCTGTAGGTGCAGGAATAGCAGCACCTGGCAGCATGCCGTCCACGTCTTGCTGTACTGGAGTTTCATAAGCTGTAGTTGCAAATATCACATTACTGGCAGCATGCTCCATTGCTTCTTAGTGTTCAGGAGATTAATTAGCTGTAGGTGCGGCCCAGGCAGCATGCTGTCTCACTTTGTGTTAAGCAGTTTCATTCGCTCTAGGTGCAGCCATTGCAGCACTTGTACGGATGGCATAAATTATTGTAATCGGCTTTGGTGAAGAGAAGCACACGTTTTCTGCGAGGGACATTATCGGTGGAGGTCAAAGTTATTAAGCATAATAAGAGTAAATATTGCGTGAGTGAATGCTATATAGAGATTACGGAAATGATAGTTGAATGTGTAATCGTAGGAATGTGAAGACATAGCCACAAAGGAACAAAGTAATTGTAGTGCTTGATGTGGGTATTAATAGTATGTCTGTGGTGGTGTGTAAATATATAATTATTTTAACGCGAGTGCATGTATTTGCATGCTTTTTATTTCTTACCAGGCGATGTAGACTTGACGTATTTAGTCTTAGCTGTTCTATAGCATCTATGTTGTTGTGTAGAAGGAGAACGGTAGTCCTGGTACATAGATGTAAATATTTTAGAATAGTACATGTTTTTTAAATAAATATTGCAGTGTGTATTATAGGTGAGCCGTGCACATGCAGAGAGGATAGTAAGCCCGAAGTGGATGAATTTGGCGGCAAAAACGCAGGGCTGATAATAGGGAAGGATAATGTGGTAAATATGAGACACTTATGTTATGGTGAGTGCGTGGAATTGTAGAAAATGAAATGTCATAATGTGTTTGCATGTGTGGCAAACCAGAAGTTGTGAGAATGCCCCGAGCTTTAACACATGGCAAGAGAGAGAGAGAGAGGGGGGGAGGTGTGAAACGGGGGGAGGGTGTGCAGGTGGTACTACAGGTGTTGAAGGTGAGCAGGTAAGCTAAAAATAGTGCGAAAAACACACGAACTCACCCGTGAGTACGCATGGAAAGTTTGAGGTGTGTTGGCGCAATTTGGTTCACAAAAAAATCTACACAAACGCAACGACTGCTTTATCATTTAAAGATTTATTCTCATTTGTCCGTGTTTATTTAAATTGTTTAGTTGATTTGGAATACAGTATAGTACTTATTTCAATTGTGATGTGAACTTTAGTTGACGTTTACCTAATGCCATTGCTTAGGTAAGGCTTAAGTATGGAATATCGCGCTTTTAGCTTTTGCAATTTCCAAAAACGTATCTTCCGCGATATGCGAGGAGCTGCTGTATTTTTGTCATCGACTACAGCAGAATATTAATTTTCAGCAGAAAATAGTTTTCGGCTTTCTTGATTTAATTAAGGCTTATGGTACCACAAAGAGGCTTGGGGCTTTGGGTTGTTATTTGTTTTCAAATATATGCCTCTGCTCTCATTTATTGAGGATTTGTTCGATTTTGGGCAGCCCCGTCTAAAGCTGCGTGACCAGGAGTCAGAGCCATTGCCTGTTCAACTTGGCTTGTGACAGAAATCCATGCTGGCCTCATGCATTACATTACATAGCATCTTCAATAACTATGTAGTTTGAGAAGCTCCCAATGGTCATATAAAAACCATTACATTCGTTACGGTTACAATTATATGCTAATCGATGCCTGGTTTTAGTTAAAGGATCGTTTCCTGCTGGTCAACCATGTTACATCTGATGATTTGGTAATGGCTACTCAATGAGATGGAATTAGGGAATCTTGTTCTGTGCCTTGATAATTCCATCATGGAATGGGGCCTTGCAAATGTTACACAAATAAATCACCTGCCTGGGAATGTCATGTCATACAACACTGCACCTCCTAAACTCTCCATAAATAATCAGGCAGTTATACAAGTGTTGGAGGAGCTCCCATACCTGGTTAATGTGTTCACGACCAGCCCTGGTTTGGCAGCCAAAGTCTCATTTCAAATTTGTCGAGCAGCATTCTTTCATTAGACTGTAACACTGTTTGGAAAGTGCCTGCACTTTTTCCATACAAAGCTATGTATGAGCGTCCATCTCCAAGGTCTAGTCTGTCTTGAGACCATCCCTCTCCCTGCCATACTGGCATCGCACCCGCCCCTCACCCTTAATTCTGCGGATGTTCGACACACAGGATGGCACCACGTAGCCAGCCACTGAGTTACGTGGGTCACACAGCCACAAGGCGCTTGTTGGCGAACACAACCCATGGGTCTGGCTCTAGGGGTGATATCAATATAGAATATATGTAAGGATGCCCCCCAATAGACTCCCCCTGGAACTCTACCAGACACGTCCCACTGGGTGATGACCCCGGGGCTGGCCCAGGACATGCTGGCATTACTATATAGCTCAGCTGGCCTGGGAACACTTGGGAATTCCCCAGATTGAGCTAGAGTCTGTTGCCAGGGAAAGGGAGGCCTGGACCGCCCTACTCAGCATGCTGCCACCACGACCCTCACCAGGACAAGCGTTTTTAGATACTAACGAACAAAGCTGTGATTCTTCTTGGCCACAGATATTACTCTGTGGATTCAGAATATGAACTTATTTAAATTACCATCTCTGCTGGCTTATACATTGAAGGCTAGCCTGCCTATGATTCATTCTCTATTTAACCAGACTATATTGTATTATAAGCTTACAGATCCTTAAGATATCAATATAGAATATAATCTTGAGTCTCTTTGGCAGGCGAGGCTGCATTGGTTCGGTCATGAATCCCGCATTCCCAGACACTGCATGCTCAAGCATCTTTTGTTTGTCCAGATATTAGGGGCTGAACAGGCATGGCATTGGCTAAAGAAGAGTTTGAAGGATGTGGAGGTGGTCGGACCTGCCGATGACTGGTGCCGGGAGTGTCAAGATTGGCCTCTGTGGAGGAGGCCCGTGAGGTATGCTGCAGGGCAATTAATAGATATTTGCTCCTCAACAACTATGAGGTCGGAAGAGTGACACTCACATGAATAGGTGGACCGCTGAGTTCCTAAAACCCAGCAAGACAGTGGGGAGCACAGCTGGTTCATCTGTCCGTCATCCCTTGACACCTGGATCATTCCCATTACCTGCCGACAAGGAATCCACACTTACATGGCCTTAAATTGCATCTATCATGGCATTAGCACTGGGATAAGGTTACTTCCAATTCGTCATGAATGGTGGATGTTTTGTTTATATATGTTAATGATGCATGTGAAATGTATGTGAATTTAAGAGTTTATCTTTGTGGGGAGCTGTGGTGCAGTGATTTCACTGCATTATGAACTCAAGAATTAGTTTGATTATCGCCAACAGCAAACATTAGTGATAAGTGAAAGCTGAACTTATTGTGGGCCTCTGCTATGTTGATTGATCTTAAATTAATTACATGGTGAAGTGAGGAAGCATTAATACTGAGCAGATGAAGCTGGCCAGGCATGGTTCTGGACACACCACCACCTTTGTACCATGCCAGTGTGTCACAGTGTCAACTTTGTATTTGCAGTAAATTATTTTAACTATTGAACATGGAGGTTAAATCAAAACAATCGTTTATTTTAGTTTTCCTCTGGAACTTTTTGTAAGAATGGAAACAGTCAGGAAATTAACACAGCATATATCCAGCTGAAGTTAGATCTGTTCATCCGAGCATTCAATCAAATCGGAGCCTGGCTTCACACATCTAAGTTGCGATTGAACATTAATTTATGCATTTCTGCATAATACAAATAGTATTATTTTCAACAGCCTTTGCTATGTTAGCTGAATTTTGCTTTTACTTTTGCAGCCAGGCAGCCGAAATTGTGTGCTTGGTGTTTTGGGTTAACATTTATTTTGAAGATACTAGGGCTTCCAGGCATATTTATAACCATTTGGCCTCTCATTGTGTGCCTTAACAGCCCGTGTGATGAATTGGGGAATATCTTGAATATATGAATAAATATAGACGTGTAAGTCATGTGTGACTGTGTATATATTCATTTATCTGTGCCTCGATACTGACGTAGATGGTGTGGATGTTTTTTTCTGTTTGCAGCTGACGCTTCTTCTGACGCTTCCTCTGCAGAATTGGACCAGTATGCAAACAGCATGGATTATACTGGAAAATTGACACAGCACCAGATAACTCAAACAGGGGAGAAACTCTTCAAGTGCACTGTGTGTGAGAAGGCATTTTCAAATTCATTTGCCCTGAAAAGACACCAGAGAACACACACAGGAGAGAAACCATTCAAATGCACTGTGTGTGAGAAGGCATTTGCACAGTCATCAGTTCTTAAAAGACACCAGAGAACACACACAGGAGAGAAACCTTTCAGGTGTAGTGTGTGTGGGAAGGCATATTCAGATTCATCTGCCTTTAAAAAACACGAGAGAACACACACACGAGAAAAACCTTTCAAGTGCAGTGTGTGTGAGAAGAGATTTTCGGGTTCATTGCCTCTTAAACGACACCAGAGAACACACACAGGAGAGAAACCTTTCAGGTGTAGTGTGTGTGGGAAGGCATATTCAGATTCATCTGCCTTTAAAAAACATGAGAAAACACACACAAGAGAGAAACCTTTCAAGTGCACTGTGTGTGAGAAGGCATTTACAGAGTCATCAGATCTTCAGAGGCACCAGAGAACACACACAGGAGAGAAACCCTTCAAGTGCACTGTGTGTGAGAAGGCATTTTCAGAGTCATCACATCTTAAAATGCATCAGAGAACGCATACAGGGGAGAGAGCCTTCAAGTGCACTGTGTGTGAGAAGGCATTTTCAGAATCATCTGCCCTGAAAAGACACCAGAGAATACACACAGGAGAGAAACCTTTCAGATGTAGTGTGTGTGGGAAGGCATTTTCAGATTCATCTGCCCTTAAAAAACACGAGAGAACACACACTGGAGAGAAACCCTTCAGGTGCCTTTTGTGCGATAAAGCGTTTGCAAAGTCATCAGTTCTTAAACAACACCAGACAATACACACAGGAGAGAAAGCCTTCAAGTGCAGTGTGTGTGAGAAGGCATTTTCACTGTCGTCAAATCTTAAAAAACACCAGAGAACACACACAGGAGACAAACCCTTCAAATGCAGTGTGTGTGAGAAGGCATTTGCACAGTCACAATATCTTCAAAAACACCAGAGAACACACACAGGAGAAAAACCTTTCAGGTGCACCCTTTGCGGGAAGCCCTTTGCAGAGTCATCACATCTTAAGGAACACCAGAGAACACACACTGAAGAGAAACCCTTCAAGTGCACTCTGTGCGGGAAGGTATGTTCACAGTTACATCTTCATAGACACCAGAGAACACACAGGCATCAGAAGATCCCCAAGGAGTGTTGTCTGAAATCGACTTGTGAAAGTCAAAGTGCTGCAATGAGCCCATCCCTACTGAAAAAAGAACCAGAAGTAAATTCCAGCTTGGACAATATGAAATGTATCAAGGTGAAATTTGAAGAGGCGAAGGTGAAATGTGAAGAGGCGATAGTGAAGAGCGAAGAAGTGAAGGTAAAATGTGAAGATGAAGATTCAACTCCAAAATCGGACCTTCACATTCATAGAGGCAACGTGAAGCAGGAGGAGAATTCGGACTGTGAGGCAGAGCGAGGCAACTCCCAGCAGTTTGTGGAAGTGGAGGTATGGGTGGACTTCCTAGACAATACAAATTCAAATGGAGACTCTGTAGATGTGTAATCTTGAGACAATGAAGCTTCAATAGATTCACCTTTGTCACAGGCCTTTAATAAAAAGAACGTAAAGTTGAATTGCATAACCTTACCAATGAATAAATTGATGAAACACTAAACATTTATAAGCATCTATGTTACGAATCTACACACTCACAGGAATACTATTGTGTTGAGATTTTTCTTTTGATCACAGAATCTTGCCCGCAAATTCATTGATGTCTCAATCGCCAATTGTTAAGCATCTGTTAGCCAAATAGGCACACGAGCACTCACACTATTGTTTCAGGACATTTCGTTACTTGCATAATCTTACCAATGAATTCATTGATGTCTACTTTTGCCATTGGGCACATGTTTCTTTAGCATGTTTCGTATGAGTATTATAAATTTGTATGGACTTTTCCTATTGCCATGTATGGTAGCTCTACTCGGAGCAGTTAGCCGATTGTTGTTACTCAGTTTTAACAAACGTAACCATTGACGGTTAATTGTACGGATCAATGAGTAGGACATCTTCAGGAGTACGGTATTGACGATTCCGATCATAAGTGTGTTCGCATATTAGAGTGTTTTTAGATATTAAACTTGCTTAACATAGAAGAGTCTGAGTGGTTCCTTCATAAGTGCATGCATAATAATCTTAATTATAAGAACTGTATCCTGCGGTGAGATCTGAATTCTGAGACCTGATAGAATTATACTAAAACATAATCAGTAAAAATGAAAGCGAGAATCATTGTATTTTCACGATTGGTAATACACCCTAGACAACGAAGCTAAGCCTAGTTTGCATAATTGCATACATTTACAAAATGTCATAAAATTAGACATTTTCCATTGTATTATCGCGATTGGTAATACACCCCTAGATAATGAAGCCAAGCCTAATTTAAATTAGCATAATTTAATCAAATGTCTTTTTTTTTTCAAGCCTATATACAGCAAGCACCCCCAAGTGGCAGCTGCCCCTGTGTGGCATAAGGTGGTCCTGCACCAGCCTGCATGTGGGCACGAGTCTGTTAGTAGAAGGCGATGATTGATGTGTAATCTCAGTTGTGTAATTTGTGGGTAATGTTTCAAATTTGTCAAATTTTAACCACAATGCCAGCATGCAATAGCATACACGTTTTGAATGACAGTGTTTTAGAATCAGCTGTTAAGACGGTGCATATTTGTAATTCATATTCCTGGACTAACCAGGCATGCCTGTCGGATTTGAACCTTGAACCTCTGCAACAAAAAGAGAATGCACTATCACTTGGCTTCCCTCAATCTGAGTGCTGCAGTTTTAGGCCTCATCCGACAGAGATCAACTTCTTGTGAATACGATATGATATGATGAAGTACATTTCAGTGCAGTAATTACATTTTGTCAATATGCTTATAGATAATTTTGAATTATAATTTGTGCATACATGTGTAGAGGTGATAGCCACTCACCATTCAGTAACCTGCAGTACCACTGAGTATCAACGGTGTGCAGCAGTGTTACCTCTCTGGGGAAATGCCCGGGGTCATGCAGAGGTGAAAGCGGATCAGAACGACCAATTGGGAAGGACCAATCAGAAGGTTCCAAAAGGGGGGCGTGGCTTGGGCAGAGCCAGCCACGAACCTGTATAAAAGCCAGAGTGCTGAGAGCTCTAGTTCAGTTCTCTCGCCACACGAAGCCCGGGCTGAAGATAGATAGGACCCTGGAACCAAGCCTTGCAGCCCTTCTAAGGGGTGAGGCTCAGTGTAAGCAGTGGTCGGGACCCACAGACCCAGTGGTCGGGTCAGTTAGCCTCACCTAGGTCCCAGCCGGAGGACGTTAGGTTAGCGGGTAACCCGTGAGTAGGTCCCGCCAAGTCCGGAGGCCATACCTCCCTAGATATCGGGTAAAGGGGACCGTATACCCCTTGTCTGTTATGGACCATGTCGAAAGAAAGACAAACAGTGTGCCTCATAAAAAAGTCTTCGTCCGTAATTACAACACTACACATGTAACATTTTGTCTATAAGGGTCAAACATGGAATACGTGATTGTTAGGAGAAAGTGTGTAATTTGGAAGTAACTTGTAAAGATAACTCACGTGAGAGCTGTTCTTGTGATATGGGTCAACTGGTATTTTTCGTGATTCAGGAAGCATCTGTCTCTGGAACAAGTAATTGTTTTTGAAATAAGGAACATTCACATCCTCTTTGGTTCTTTCGGTAAAGTCACGTAGGTATAAAATAACCTTCAAATCTAGATTAAAACTTCAAATCTAGATTGAACATTCACATCATTCATCAGTTACAAGGCATACCACTTAAATGTTATACGTGTGTGGCAGTCAGAGTGATAGCTTTGGGGAGCATGGTGTTTCTTTGATTGGGGAGAGGCAGGGAGGGGGGGACTTTGTGTGAAAGTGGTTGCAGGTGTGTGGGATTGGATTGGCTCGTGGGCACGGGGCTTTGGACTCGTCGGCACGCCGTGCCAATTGTTGGGGAGACTGCCCCCCATATCCCCGTTCTCCTGTGACCCACCGTTCTCCGACTCTCCCCCCCTCGCGGCTGCCCCTCGTGGCATGATTTAAATGGCTGTACTAACCGCCTTGCAAATACACCGCTGTGCCCTTCTCGTACACGCTAACCACGAGCTGCGCAGTGGCGAGAGCACCCACATGGGCAGAATACACAGGACACCACAACGCGCAGGCTCACAAGTTAACGTGCGCGGCGAGCACGCACGCGCGGGCAAAATATACGCTCGTGCGAAAACGCAGAAAACCACAACGAAACAGGCTCACAACAGCAGGCACCCCACTCCAACTCAGAGACAACACGACAAGGTTTAATGTCTACTGGCGATTTATTCCTCGATCAATGAAGTCAACCTACCTGTGTCAGTGTGGACCAGCAGGGCAGATCTAACCTATCTCTCTATGGACTAGTACCCAATTTGTCCCGTCTCTCCCTATTCCCTCTCCTTAACGGATATTCCCTCTTGGCCTTACCTCTCTCCTCCGTACTTACGATCCGCTCTCGAGGCATAGGTAGTCGCGGAGAGGTGAGCCTGCACGTGGCTTTGGCTGGGAACTGGACCTGGCTGCTCTGTGACCCGTCTCACGGACGTTCGAGTAGCAGGGGACGATGACTCCTTGGTCCCTCACTCCAGTAGACCCCGAGCACAAAGAGAGCTTGCTTCTGATTTTCGTCCCTTTTTATCTCCCTACTTCAAAGCTAATGCGCTGCGATCCTACTTGCCTCTCATCCAATCCAGAGCCTCGGATTTCCCGCTCTTGGCCAATCGGATTATCCCCCTCTCCGACGCCCGCCCCTCATTGTTTACCCAACGTGTGCAAGTTCGAGGTCACTGCACACATCGTGCGAAGGCGAGGGCCCCTCCCCTCCATTTAACCAAGTGCAAGGCATGTTAAAGGGCATCCCCACCTGCCTGCTGATCCGCGTGTGCCTTGGGTGTTTCCTCATTGCGGTTCTCAGTGAGTTCGCCGTGACCATACAATTTTAAGTTAATCCACGGCGCCGCAGTGTCATTCGGCCTGGGGGGGGTCTGCCAATTCCCTGGCCCTGAGAAACCGTGGAGCACCCCAACGAGGGGGGCCCTCGAGTAAAAACTCAGGGGCAGGTGACCCCCCCACGAGGCCCTACGTGAGTGCATGTGTGTGTGTTCATGTGGGGGGTGGTGGGGGAAGTGCTGTGTCGGAAGCCGGGTGGCTTCTCTGCTGCAGCACCCCCGCCGCAGGCACGGCTCCCACGGAGCGGCTTCGCTGTCGTGGCTCCACATAGCCCCCCGAGGTGCCAGTCCCCGTCCCGGGTTGACTGGAGCACCTCTCCTGGGTTGCCCCCACGAGGAAGCGTCGCGGGGTCCGCGGGACTCGCCCAGCCCTCGTGGCCGGCCTCGGGGGTGGTGGCTCAGTCTCCCGGGGTTCCGGCGGCGGTCTCCTCCTCCACTCCAATGGTCCTCCTTGGCCCTCGGCACCTGCGGGCTGGGGGACGAACTCAGAGGCGGCAGGGTTTAAGGGTCGTCGTCCCCGTCCCCCCCGGCCCGGGCCGGGACCCCTCGGGGCACGGGGCCCCGTGGGGCCCATATACCGTGCGAGGCCCCCGAGTATGGGGGGTGTGGGGACCCCGGGATTTCGAGTACTCGAACGGCAGGGTTCCCTCCCGCTGGAGCTGCTCTCCATGGTTTTAGTCGGCGGACATTGACCACCATCTCCCGGCCCTTCTCTCCTCCCTGAATCAGCACCATCCAGGGGGAGATCTGCCGTCCCGTCAGGATCCCCGCCAGTAGGTGATCAGTTTCCCCACCTGTCCGGCCCCGACACGAGTAGTGTGCAGCCACACTTTAGAGCCCGCCGAGTAGAAGGGGGGCTCCATATGGGGTCGGGCGCTCTGTTCTTGCCGCTGGCGCGCGGCCTCTCCTTGCGGGTAGGCTCGGCCCCGGGCCCCTCGCAGAGTCTCCATCAGGTGTTCCACGGGGCGGCTCGCCTCCTCCCGTTGTGGCGGGGGGACGCCGAAGAGCAGATCTGCGGGTAGACGAGACTCACGGCCAAACATCATTAGGAACAGGGTCTGGCCCGTTGACGTGTGTACTGTGGTGGTGTAGGCGAACAGGGCGTAGGGGAGGTGTTTGTCCCAGTCCTGCTGATTTGCTTCAGTACATTGTGCTCCATGAACGCTCGGGCGACCACGAGGGCAGTCTTATCGGGGATGGCCACCGCTACGGGATAGCGTGTGAAGTACTCTACCGCTACGAGAATATATCAGTTGCCTCAGTAGGATTGCGGGAATGGCCCTTGCAGGTCAATCCCAACCAGCTGGTTCATTCGACTGACGCGGAACGGTCTCAGGGGTTCCTGATATCGCGCCGGTTTCGGCCCATATTGCTGACACGCTCAGCAGCCCTGTACCCAGGTGGTCATGTCTTGTGCCAATTTGGGCCAGAGATACTGGCGACGCATGGTCTCCCGAGTGCGCCGTTCCCCGTCATGGCCCCCGAGCGGGTGGTCGTGCACCAGCCTCAGCAGCTGGAGTCGCACCTGGGCGGGAACACAGATGCACCCTGGCTGGCCGGCTTTGGTTAGCTCTCATACCACTCCGTTTTTTACGCACAACCGAGTATACAAACCACTCCAGGGTGCCGGTGGGCCACTCTTCTTCTCTCTTAGGGCCGCTGCCACCGCCGCCAGGTCTGGGTCCCACTGCTGGGTCTGTCTCAGCTGCTCATCGTCCAGGCGTAGCCGATGTCCCCTTGGATACGCCCGGTCAGGGTGGGGTGGTCCGTCGAGTCCCCTGCTCCTTCTGCAGGGGTCTCTGCGGCACATACCATACTCTCTCTCGGGGGAGGGGGTTTAGTTTCAGCGTGCTCCCAGGGGCCCGTCGCCTGTCGGCAATGTCCCCCCGTGAAGCACAGGCAGGCTTCCTCCGCCCTCGTCTCGGCGCACACCGCGGGCCGCCTCGACAAGGCGTCCGCGTTTGCGTGCGTACCCGATCTGCAGGTTGTACTCCTGCAACTGCGCCAACCATCGGGCCATCTGCCCCCGCGGTTCCTTGAAAGTAAGGAGGAACTGCAGGGCATAATGGTCGGTGCGTACCCGACATTTCCTGCCGTACAAATA